TGGGATGCTGCAGTCTGACCTCAGGGCAGTCAGTGGGGCCCCGATGGTATTAAGTGGCTTAACAGGCCCCTCACCTAGAGAACCTGGCAGGGCAGGCAGGGCCCCACCTCCTCACGCAGCTGTACCTGCACCCACCCAACCATCGTCTATTTCTACCTGTTGCTCCAGCTGCTCTCTTTTGCTGATGGACAAAGGGGCATCAAATAGCTTCTCCTCTGTCTCTGCGCCCAGCATCACATGGGTCTTTGTTACAGCACCAGCCAAGGGGTCCAGGAAGACATACTTTTTGTACCTGCAAAGGTGGGGTGCAGTTCACACAATGTATCTGCAGTTTTAGGCCCACAGTCCTGATCTTTTCCCACTTCGTCAGGAGCCACATGTAGTTTGTACTGTGGATTCCCAGGCCTTACAAGGCAAAGCAAACTGGTCCTGGCTCTGCAGGCTGCAGACTTCTGCTGCACCTGCTGTACCTGAGTTTGATGCCCCTTGGGTGCCCCCTTAAGCCAGCCAGACCTCCCAACACCCGCTTCTAGCCCCACTTCTGGCCATACAGGTTCTCAGTGGTGTTGAAGAGCAGCAAGGAGCTGACGGAGTTGATGTTGCTGGGAAGACCCCCAAGCCCTTCCTCGGCCTCATCCTCAGGTTCCAACTTGGTGTTCACACACACAGGGAAGTATTTCAGTTTCTCCTGGGGGTGGGCAGGGGGGAGGGGTTGGTGTGGAATGTGACAGAAGGATGGAGGTTTCAGGGCCAGACCAGTGACCTCCACCCCATCCCGTGAGAATCCGCCTGGGGGAACAATACCCTATGGTGGCCCTTAGTTCCTCCCCGACATCCAGTACTGCCATTGGTCACCCCTGGGAATGTGTGACCTGCCCATGCCCATCCGACCTGCAGGGCCCGCTCATCCAGGGGGCGGTGTTTGCTCTGGATTCTGTGGCGGGGGCGTCTCTGCAGGCCAAAGTCCTGGGCACCCGTGAAGATGGAACTGTACTCCTGCAGGTGCTCAGGAGCTGGGTACTTGGCACTGGAGAACACCTGTGGGCACACGGTGAGTCTGACATTACATTTTCAGGGTTCCCAAAAAGTGCCAGGAAGCCTAGGGTTGAGGTGAAGAGATTCTGAGGAGGAAAGCTTGAGGCTGGACAGTGAAGGGAGGGACCCGGGCAACCCCAGAGGCACAGGGATACGGTAGAGTATGGGATATCTGCGACTGCCTACCAGCCACAGGGACACGCGGGCTACCTTGATGGCCTTCTTGCTGCCCTTGATCTTCTCAATCTTGGCCTGGGCTAAGGAGACCCTCTCCCTAATGGCCTGCAGCTGGCTCCGGCTCAGTTCCACTCGCTGGGAGATCCTGCCAGGGAAAAGATCACAGCGGCTGGGGGTTGCTCCTTGAGCCACCACAGCCTCCTGCACACCTCTTGCTTCTAACAGCAAACCTGCAAAAAGCCAGGGGCTTGGGCAACAGTTCTTTAAAAAAGCTTGTTCTTTAAAAACCTGCTTGTTAGGGTCCATCTTAAAACTGCCCAGGTGACCTCTCATGGGTTATCCAAACTGAAGGGTCTAGGAAGGCACTGCATTAAGTTCCTTGGAGCTCTGAGCAGGGATGGGCAACTTACCCTGGCCCCAAGTTGGTGCCTGAAGGGACATGGTTCTTCTCTCCCAGAGTTTATAGCCTCAAGCTGGGGCAAACAGGGACAGAATCATCATAACTGAAATGGACACATTCACCTATTTACAGACAAGCAAACCAAACAAGGCTGACAGCAAGGCTGGACCTACATTCCAGTCCCAGATCTGTTCACGAAGAACTGCCCTGACACAAAATAAATACATCCCAAGTTCTGACCAAGGTTCTCATGGTTGCGGCCTGGCTGCTCCCAGCCCCCCTCCTACCCTGATCAGTCGGCTGCGGCCACTCTCGCTGCCCTGCTACTCCCTGGACCTGCCGGACTCGCGCTTGTCACGTGGGGTTTGCATCAAATGGAATGCTGCCCCCCCAGATATCCCCGTGGCTCACTCCTTCCCTGCCCTGAGCCTCCTGCTCGCTGAAGCCTTCCTGACCACGGAATCTGAAAATGCACCCATCACTTTCCAACCCCCACCCACTTTCCTTTGACACAGTGCCACCTGACATTGCGTGACTCTTGCCTACATGTGCTTCAGGGGACAGAGGACTCTGCTTTGTTCCCTGTGTATTCCCAGTGGCTAAATCAGTGCCTGGAACCTGTACAGGCCCCTCTCTGGTTACTGAAGACAAACATCCATGTGCCCTAAACATAAATGCAGTCATGCCTCACTTACTCTGACCCCACATTATTCAGCAACAGCAAGAGGCTTCTCATCGCAGCGTTACCTCTTGTGTGCCTGTCCCTCCTCTCTCAAAGGCTCCCCCACCTCCAAGAACACTGGTTCCTGCCCACAATCGTCACATTCCACATTCAAAGCGGTCACATCTCTGCATTCACCTGGGAGGAGTGAGCACACAGGTGAGGCAGGAGAAAGGCAAAGTTGTAGGCTGAGTGCCTGGGGACAAGTGGGAGGACACGCTGGGCAGCAGAGGGGACTCCTCACTGTCCCTGTGGTGGGAAACTTCAGGGCCAGGGGACTCTGAGATTTCTCTAAAGGTTGAAATGAACAGTCTACTCTGGCCTAGCCTTCCAAATCATCTCCGCCACTCTAGATGGTTTTGGCCCCTGAGAACACACCCACCAGCCAATTTCACAACCTAGGGGCCTCCATCCTCATGATGTCTCTCTACTACTTCCAACTCATCATGTGCCAGAAGTGGAGAGTGAGGTTGGGGCTGGGGTACAAGCAGGCACCCAAAGCAGCTTAGTTTTCCTTGACAGACTAGTCTGAGTCAGGCAACAATGCAGAGAAAGAACAAGAGGGTGGTTTCCTTCCAACAAGAGAACGGAGAATTCCCCATCTTTTCCAGCACGAGTTCCATCTTTCCTGGCAGAAAGAAAGGTCTTCATCCACCGGAAAGTGGCACTCGACCACACGCTGCTCCCTCCAGTTCCCAACTCTGCCACCCTGGCCCTAGGCGCTGAGGCAGCATCAGTGGTTATGTAAGCACGCCACTTGCCACTCGAGGCCGACGTGGAAAGGGAGGGACATCAGACCTGGAGATGGACCAAGGCTACTCTGTTCTGGTTCTTCCATTAAGGAGAGAAGGGCTGATTTCTTGTAAGTGAAAACAACAAGTTTAACAATGAACCCTGGCAAATTTCCAGAATGAATTATTAAACAGAGGGTTTGTACGCACTTAGAAAAGGAAGAGGCAGGTCCCAGGGGCCAGCACGGTTCTAAATTCAGAGCATTTCTTTCCTTCACAGGGCTATTAGGCTGGTGTATCAGGGGAAAACCTTAAACACAGTGCATCTTGACTCAGCAAGGATTCTGATGGCTTCTCAGAAAAATTCTGTGGATAAGATCAGGCTATGGGGGTTGGAGGAGAGTCCACTTAGGAAAATCAGAGCCAAATGAACACGAGTACTGGAAGGGCACTGCTGAAGACTAGACTGATTTCAGCCTTGCATGAAGGTCTCCAGCAGGGCCCCATCTACCATACTCAACACCTCATCAGCAAACTGGAGATATCGAATGGGGGAGAGTCAAAATGGTCTGTATAAAGGAATCAAGACTCAAATAATCCTGAGGCCAGAGGAGTGGAATGTAACCAACAAGATAAAACTGACAAGGAGTAAACATGAAGCCCAGCATTTAGGTTAAAAAGTCAAACACACAAATATAGAACACGGAGTTTGAGCAGTAGTTCAGGGTGAGGAAGCCCTGAGGTGTTGGTTAACTATAAACTCCGGATGAGCTAAAAGAATGTTAAGCAGCTTAAAAAGGAACTACAATCTTAGGGCACACAGCTTCTAGTCCCTCTTCTACCTTCTTTCAATAAACTGGGAACATCCACTCTTCTTAGAGGCACTGGAGAGAAAACAGGGCCCTGAATTAATGAACTTAATCTGTGCCAGGCACCGATCTCATGCACAGCTGTGTCTCCTTCAAACTGGATCCACATTTTAAGAGGACTCAATTCCATTCTAGGCTATTCCCTTATTCACTGCTGTAACTCTGGCACCTGGGACAGGGCCTGACAGGTAACAAACACTGGCTGAATAAAAAGTGACAAGTTAATGAACATCCAAAGAAGGGTAACGAGGATGGTGATGAGTGAGAAATTCCTGTCATATGGTAACCAAAGGATGTCTGGCTACAGATGAGGTGATTTAGAGAATATGATAATTCCCCCCAAATATCAAAAATATCACAAGTGCTGTCAGGTGGAACACAATTAGCTGCTTCTCAGTACTGCCCTTCCCCCTGCCCCGCCTTAGGGCAGCAGAAGGACCAGTGGGCAGAGTTATAAGGAGGCGGACCTCAGTGAACTCTAACAAAGAGCTGCATAGCTTTGCAAGGCAATCAGATTCCAGCTGGATGACCAACAGTCTGGAATGCTTCAAGGGAGATGCCTGTGTGGGACAGCGGAATGGAGGATGGGATTTCAGGGGATCTTTTCTTATCCAAAAACCTTTAAGTAATGGCTAGTCTTTTGACAAAGCTCATAGGTAGTCTAATCTCTTACAGTCATGCATCACGATGCTGGGAAGAGTATAGGCCAGATGAGAAAGCTTCCGATTCATATGCCATCTCCACTGACTGGCGGTGACTGCTTGGCAGGCTGCGTTAGGAAGGACTATTAGGCTACGCTGAGGCTGGAACTGAGTGCAACAACTAATTAGCAATGCCCACCATGAGGGTGGGGCATGGGGGCAAAAGGGCAATTGTTTGCTGCTCCTGATCTAGAGCCCCCTGGCTTGGTGGCCAGCTTCAAAGGAGGTCATTCCCAACTCATTGCAGAAGCCATGTTCCCATAACATGTCTGCTCAGACCCTAGCAGTGGAAGCAGTGCCCCCGTCAGCATCAGGGACAGAACTGGCTCACTCGGTTTGCTCGGAGCATGGGACAGAGATGAATCAGATAACACACATCTGTTCTCAAGGAGATTCCAGTTTACTAGGGACATAAATAACTACAATGTCCCATAGACCTGGGTTAACATCTATGTAATAGCGGAGTGACCTTGGACAGGTCACTTAACTGGCGTATGCCTCAGCTTCTTCAGCTGAAAAGTAGGAATACGAACTTCTATATCATGGAATTATGGTAAAGGTTAAAATGATTGAATGTATGTCTAGTGTTCCTGTACTACCGGACATATCCCAAGTCCTCAGTTAACATCTGCTATTACTACCCATAAGGTGGAGAGAGGGATGAGGGGCTCTAGGCATTCAGGGGAAAGCCGGAAGAGGCAGTGCTGGGCAGACACGCAGAAGGAAATTCCAGGCTGGAACCGGCACTTTGCAAGAGAACGCGCTGGAGGGCGGAGGGGAGAACAACAGTAAGCAGCTCCCTGGGCTGGTGGGAGGCATTGTAGAAGGCACCTAGGGACCACTCTCCTCCTCGTATGACAGCAGGAGGGGGACAGGTTGGCCAGGACAGTGCTTGGGCTCCCTGTCCCACCACCTCCAAAGCTGACCCTCCATCCCCTTCCTGTAAAGCCAGGCAGGCCCACTGCAGTGCTGCCGCGGCTCCTCACAATCAGATCGGCGGCTGCGGCGGCTGCGGCGGCTGCGGCGGCTGCGGGAAGGGAGGAAGCACCTGCTCCTGGCCCCATAATTGCTGCTTCTCCTCCCCTGGCTGGTCCTGTCCCTGGGCACAGCAGACCCTGCATCTGGGCTCTTGCCTTCACCTTTATCTTCTCCACCCACAGGGATAATTAAGAATCATCTGCTAATTATGCAGGCAGCTGATTGAGTGCTTCCTAACCTTGGGAGTCACCAGGTGCCAATCAGTGAGAGAAAGGGAGGAGAAAGGGAAGGATGGGCCTCACTTGGGGCTGATGGGAATGGTGAGTGACAGCACCCCAACTTCCACATGCAGAATTTCCAGCTCCTCTTCCTATGCCACAGCAATGCCCTCTGCCTCATCAGCTAAGTCTTGTGAAGCAGGTGACATCTCTGGGCAGATATTTTGGGCCTGGCTTCTCTCAGGTGAAGATGGGGGCAGGTGAGGACCAGAGAGATCTGCTAGGCAGGAAGAGAAACCAGGGGAAGGAAGGAGAGGCTTCAGGAGAGCCTGAGAGGTACTTGTCATTCTCTCCACTCTGCACAGCTCCCACTGCAGCAGAGCAAGAGGAAGGAACGCCAGCTCAGAATGCTAATTTTCCATGAGCTCACCTACCTGCAGAACTGGGCACAGGCATCAGTAGGGCCAAGGGGCCCAGGCCTGGCTGGGCCTGAAATGAAGAGAGAGAAAAAGTATCTAGCCCTGGCTGGTGTGGCTCAGTGGATTGAGTGTCAGCCTGTGAACCCAAGGGTCACTGGTTCAATTCCCAGTCAGAGCATGTGCCTGGGTTGCAGCCCAGGTCCCCAGTAGAGGGCATGTAAGAGGTAACCACACATTAATGTTTCTCTCCCTCTCTTTCTCCTTCCCTTTCTCTCTCTCTAAAAATAATTTTAATTTTTTAAAAAATGTCTCTTCTCCACAAAGTTTACAAGCAAGAGGAACACATTTAAGGAGAGAGATTTCCAGGCTCCGATCCTGTCCCCACCACAAAAGCCCATGAGGAATGAAAAGCCCCCTTGCTTGTTGAGTACTACTCGATGGGGGTGGGGCAGAAGAAAGAGGCTAGGTCTAGGCACAATCATCCCTAACTCCTCCCTTTCCTCATTCTCATTCCCATTCTGTCATCATGTCATTATGTCCCCTTTGAAATGTTCCTGCCTGCAACTCCCCTGGACAGCAGCCTTTCCCTTCCATGTCCTAACCACACTAACAGCTTCCAAGGTGTCCCTGGAATCCACTCCCTCCCCTTCTTGTCCATTCTGTGATTGCTGCCTGACTAACCTGCCCGAAACTGTTTTGTCCCATCACTTTGCTCAAGTACCTATCCAAGCACCTAAAACTCCTGGATCAAGCTCCAAGTCTTGCCTTGTTCAGAGAAGTTCCCATGGGCCCTGACTTATCCCAACTTTTTACTCACCCACCTCCCACTCCTCTGCCACAGAGCACTCCCACAGCGCTGAAGAACATAAAGAAGCCACAAGCAAACTCCTGAGGGCGCATGATTGGAGGGGGCAGTGAGACCCACAGACACATGGCACGCTGACTTTTCACACCCTGTTCTCTTCCACAGCGGGGAGCTGAACGTATGGGAGAGGCAGCAATGTCTGTACTCTGGGAGCCGGGAAACACCACACTCCGAGACACACCATACTCCATATTCTGGCCGCTAAGGCTTCAGCACGCATGTCCAGACCCCACCAAATGCAGGCCCACATTCCCAGTCCTGCCTCACCACAGCCTGTTCCTCCTGTGGCCTAGTTCATGCCCCTTTCCTTCAGGAGGACTTCCCTGATCACATGTAGGAGGCACGTGGTTCTCCTTGCTACCATCTACTTCTTCCTTATTCAAGCAACAGCTCCCGTTTCCGTCACTCCCACAGACTCAGTCCCTGGACTTTGGGTGGGGCTAAGCCCAGGGCTTATGGTAATGCATGTGACCAAGACACGAGCCAGTCAGTGAGTCGCACCTCTCCTGCCCCAGCAACTGGCTCTGATATAGACACGAGAACCAAGGTGAGCCAATGGGCAAGTGGGACTCCTGAGGAAACGCTGGAACGCAGCTTGAATCCAGGAGCTTGGACCTTACTGGTGTGGCCTTGCCACCCAAGAGCAAGGCCTTCCTGGGAATGGGGCCGACCCAGAGGCAGAGAGCCGGGATGGACTGAAAGCCAAACCAGGTCCCAATGCTATCACTGATACCCTTCAGCTCCAAAACCCGCTCTACCGATTGGTTACTTTTTGCTTAAATTGGTTTGGGGAGTTCTGATGGATAAATATGCCATCAATTTTTACTTATTTCTCTCTTTCCTAGATCCTGAGAGGTCCACACAGTTCACGCTATGCAATTAAGAAACAGCCAAGACCTACTGCTCTCCCATTCCAGACTATCAGAGCCTTGAGGACAGGAACCATGCCATACACATCTTCAGTGCCCCTCAGGGTCCAACAAGTTGGGTATATGGTGGGAGACCAATGGGGTGACCTGGAACCTGGTTTTGAGGGCTCCTGAGAGGCGTCCTCCCCTCCCTCAGACACTTGGAGGGCCCACACCCACGCTCAGCCAGCTCACCATCTCTGCCCAGGAGATGGCTTTCCTGCCCTCTCCTCATCCCACGAAACTGTCTACAGGTGCCCGATGCCAGGAAAGGAGACTGAGGCATGCAAAAACTCCACAGCTCTCCTTAGAGAAAGGCAAGCATGCGGTCATAGTCCTGGTGAGGAAACACAAATATTTCTGGTGGATTGTTTTTGGCATCCATTTCAATCACTGGGCATGGCGTGGCCATCCTCTCGGACTGACAGCTCTTAATGGCCTGTGTTCTCTTGCTTATGTATTCCTTGGGCATATTTAACACAAAAATAAGCACTAAAAGGGCACCTAACCCCTTCTATAACAACTGACAGCAGGTTAAAGGAGGACCACCACAGGCAGCAAGTGAGCAGAGATGATATTAAGAGTGAATATTTACTGCATTCTTAGTAATTACATGCCTGGCACTGTAATTCCTTTGCAAGTATTAATTCATTTAATCCGGACAACAATTCTATGAGGAAGGCACCAATATTACCACCACATCATAGATGAGGACACTGAGGCTTAGAGAGGTTATGTAACCTTCCCAAAGTTACAGAGCAAGCAAATAAGGACATCAGACGGAGCCCAGGCAGTCTGCGCCAGGGTCAACCCTCTGAACGCTTGGGAACCACCCTGGTTACATTTATACTCTGGACAGGCTTGGCGCAGGCAGGTATGTCAGTGGGAAGGTAACAGGCAGAAGAGTCCAGAGGATCTGATGTTTATATACCAAGTCCAACAGAAGATAATGACCCCATTTTCTGCTCCCATTGAGGAAGGCTTCAGGAAAAGGTGGACCCCCAGCTGACAGAAAAGGAAGAGGTTGCCTGATGATGCAGAAGGGGATCCCTACACTGGGGTGCAGGCAGGGGCTGGAGTAGGCAATGACTTGAACCATGAATGAACCTGAGTCAGGTAGACAAATACTTTACATGGAGCGGGATAAAGGGTTCTTATGTGAGGCAAGACGTGGGCACCCGGAAAGATCCATCCCAGGTTGCTGATGGCCATAGAAAGACAGGGTAAAGCCTGGAATCTTTGCAAGGAAATAGCAAACACTGTTCACTCAGGTTAATTAAACACTGAGTGAAAAATCATTATAGCCCCAAGGACTGTGCTAGGTTAGCGCTGGCAATAACAAAAAGCTGCCAATCACCAGCTCACAATCCGCGGTGGCCTCCGAGGCCCGACCCCCACACCAGCTCTCCTCGCTCTCCCTGCCACAGCCACACTGGCTGCTATTCAGGCCTGGCCTACCTCAGTGCTTTAACTCGTGTATTTCTTTCTTTCTGGAACATTCTTCTTCCCAATCTACCCATTCACATTAACTCCCACTCATCCTTCAGATATTACCATCAATCTTTTTCCCTACATATGCCTCCTCTAATCCCCCCCGACCAAGTCAGACCTCCCGTTAACTCTCATAGCACCTTTCCTTCCCTTCATAGAGGGACAATAAAAACCCCAGAGTCCGGAGCCACAACAGCTGGGTGTGACCCCCAGCTCTGCCACTTGAGCAGGTCTCTTAGCCATTCTGTGCCTCAGTTTCCTCATCTACAAAATGGAGATAACAACAGTAGCTTCTCATAAAGTTGTTGTGAGGGTTAAATAAATTAATGCACTTCAGATCAATGGCAGTACATGGTTAATGCTATATAACTATTAGTTATTACAAAATTACTTAAATATAGGTCTTATCACAATTATAGTTAAAAACTAACATGCAATTGATTAATTACAATCCACCCCTCCTGCCAGAGTATATCCTCTAGGTGGACAGGGACACTGCCTTATTCACCACTGTAGCGAAGGAGAACAGCAGTGCCTTGCATACAGAAGTATTGAATACATACTTGCTAACTGCAGGAATAAGTGACTGGACCAGGGCCTCCAGTGGGAGGATGAGTTAAAAGAGCATTACCACCACCAGGGCCTGTGGGGGCCACAGGGAACCCAGGGAGCTAAGTGGGACAGTAGGTAGCTCTTGTGAGAAAAAACTTCTAACATGGTCCCCTTGGGCACCGGGAAGCCAGCTGCCCCCTGCTCCGCCATGGCCAAGAATCACCATCAGGGCTGCTCCTAGAGGGCGCCTTCCTGGGAATGGAGAGGTGACTGCCCAGGACAGGGAGAAGCCCCTGATCAGGTTGTGATGGGTGGCAGCACCCACCTGCTAAAGATGTCTCCGGAGACCTTCTGCAGGTACTGCAGGGCATCTGCTATCTGCTGGATGGCCTCCTCTCGCCGCAGATCGGGCTGGATGAGGGGCACTGTGTAGGTCTGACCTGCCAACGAGTGCTGGGTCCTCATGGGAGTCATGGTACCTATGGGAGGGAACCAGAGCATCAGAGCCACCCCACACTCACACCCCCCTACCTGCCACAGCGCAAGGTCTTGAGAGAAGAGAACACAGCCCCCCACCCTACCGTCTGCTACAGGTTCAGCCAGTACAGGAGGGGAGCTGGGGACACAGCTCTTGATGGGAGGCCAGGAGCCCACAGGAGCTGGTCTGCTGCTGCTTGCTGACTAAATGAAGGACTGAAATTGGTAGGGACGAAAGAGGCTGATGAGAAGGGTTCAGAGAAGGGGCAATACTTACTTGTCCCCATTAGGTGCTTGGGACCCTGCTAGATACCCTCATTATACGTTATCTCATTCCAACCTCCTAAGCCTAGATGAACAAGAGAATCCCTTGCTGCACAGTCAAAAACTGCCTGGAAGCAGAGGATGATTCGGAAGGAAAATATTGCCTCAGTTAACTGCTCAGTGGTACCCAGGTCTAGAAAACCAGAGGATGTGGATTCCTGGGTTCTACTCACTTTGGCCTCTGAGGAACTCAGGGCCTGTTCCTGAGATAGGAGAGGCAGTGGCTAGTGACTCTAGGTATAGGTATCTAGGCTCTGCTCACCCAGGCTAGAGCCAAAGGGGGCCAGGAGGAAGAAGGGGCACATGGGGGTAGAAAAACAGGAAGGAAAAACACTCCTCCAAATTGTAAGACAGGGCAGAGTCTATTTATACTGAGTTTAATTAACTTCACTCCCTGGTGCCACTAAAGCAGCAATTGCACTGCAGAAGGCACTGATTTGATTGGCAAGAGACGCACCAGGCAGAATATTAAGACACCAGGCCCCTATAAATAGGCCTAATCACAGCCTCTTGGTAGAAGATGGTAAGGAAGACATTAATCAGGCCTGGCACTGCGCCCTTGTTAAGTATGGCAGGGAGGGCTGAGAAGGCTTCATTTGGGTTTAAACTGCTGTGTGACCTTGTGTAATTTGCTTGCCTTCTCTGAATATCTGATTCTATTTCCCATTCTACAGATTGAGAGTGGCACTGCTCTCTTAAGTGATTATTCCCAATGTATCCCACCAACATCTTCACCAGGTAGGTGTGCTTACTCTTCTGCTCCCTCTGCAGGCTTTCCCAACGCTTCCTTCTACCCTACTTGTCCTCTCCTACCCTTCTCAGGCCAGCGCTTTTTTGTCATCTCAGGTGACTGTTCTGTTTTCCAACTTGTTTTCCAGCAGTGGCATCTTCATTTTCTCAGACCTGAACCTGCCTTGAATCCACCTCTGTGTGTCCATGTGCACGCTCAAGGTGGTAATTCAGGCATAAATCTCCCAAACAAGGAAGTAACGGATCCATTCAAGAATGAAGAGACTGACCCTGGCTGGTGTGGCTTAGTGGACTGAGTGCCAGCCTGCAAACCAAAGGGTCATCAGTTCAGTTCCCAGTTAGGTTCCCAGTGCGGGGAACACAAAAGGCAACAGCACATTGATATTTCTCTCCCTCTCTTTCTCCTTCCCTTCCCCCTCTCTAAAAATAAATAAATAAAGTATTTGTTTTTAAAAAGAGAGAGACTGGTCTGGCCTGTGTGGCTCAGTTGGTTGGAGAGTCGTTCCATAACCGAAAGGTCACAGGTTTGATCTCCAGCTGGGGTGCTTATGAGAAGGCAACCAATTGATGTTTCTCCCTCTCTCCCTCTCTCCCTCTCTCTCCCCTTTCTTCCCTCTCTGATGAAAAAATGTCCTCAGGTGAGAATAAGAAAAAAGAAGAATGAAGAGACTGGGTATAGCTGGTTGGTTGTTTACTCATACTTATTCTGTCTGTAGACATCTACCGATCAGATATTAGGTGCCCACCATGATCAAAACAACGATGAACGGGAAACTATACTAGCCATGGAGACAGCCTCGAAAACAATTAAACAGCATGTGATAAATGCTCTAATCTGGCCACGTACGCAGTAGTAGGGGAATACTGAGGAAGGTGTAATAAACCCCTTCTTGAGTTAGTTGACTCAGGAAGAGCTTCTTAGCAGAAGCTGAACCTCCCTAATACGCCCAAGGAGAGCATTCCAGGTAGAAGAAAGAGCTTCAACAAAGGTTTACAGGGTAATGGCAAGTGGTCTTGAATCGTGAGAATATAACTATCCTTGGCAAAGTAGCAGGAAAAAGAGAGACAAAGGTCAGATTGTGAAAACACCGAACACCATGGCAAGGAGTTTGGACAAAAATCCTTATAGTTATGCTGTCCAATGAGGCAGCCACCAGTTACAAATGGCTATTGAGCACTTCTGAAATGTGGTTACTCTGAGTTGAGATGTAGTGTAAGTGTAAAATATACATCAAATTTCAACGACTTAATAGGAAAAAAGAATGTAAGATGTCTTAAGATTTCTTACAGTCCTTATTCACAGAGGGTATGTTCCAAGACCACCCCCCGCCCCAGCAGTGGGTGCCTGAAGGCGCAAATAGTACTGAACCCTATATATATAAATATTTTTACTATGCCTACATACCTATGAGAAAGTCTGAATTATAAATTAGTAAGATATTAACAACAATCATAAAACAATTATAACAAGATACTGTAATAAAAGCTATTGTGAATGGCTTTGGCGCCATTATTAATCAAAGTAAGGGTTGCTTGAGATCAAACACTGCAATACCTTGACAGCTGATCTGATAAACTAAGTTGGCTATTAAGTGACTAAGGGGTGGGGGAGCATCTACACCGTGGACACGCTGGGCAAAGGGATGATGATTCACATCCCAGATAGGGCAGAGCACCTACGAGTGGGACACCTACGAGATTTCATCGTGCTCCTCAGAATGGTGCGCAAATTTACTATTTCCCGAATTTTCCGTTTTAATATTTCCGAACTCGTTGACCTGGGGTAACTGAGAACGCAAAAAGCGAAATCGGGAATAAGCGGCGGGGGCGGGGGGCGGGGCACTGTATGTCTAGTGATTACATGCTGAAGTGGTATTTTAGTTATACTGAGTTTAAAAATATATATTACTGAATTAATTTCATTGGTTTCTTTTTACTTTTAGAATCACGTACGTGCTTCACATATTTCTAAAGAACCAGCACTACCTTAGAGAATCTGGTAAAAACTGGACGCTTTCAGAAAAACGAAACTACACTATACCTGTTTCTCATAATGCTGTTTATAATTTCAGAAGTGCATGGAATCTTTCCTGCAAACCCTCCCGAACACCTAGCTCCCAGGGTCTACATCCCAGGGCAAGAACCTAGGCTGTAGGCAGTGTGGGATCAACTAACAGAGGCCAGGGAGGGAGGGGCATTAATCCGCTGCAGTGAGGGTCGGGAGCTGCAAGCTCTGAGGAGCCACCTCAGCCCTGCTTCTTCCCGACGCCCAGCCCGACAGCGGAAAGGCACGTGAGGGTTTCAGGGAGGGGCCAAGAGAGGAAATGAGGGCTGCGGCCTGCCCCTCCGATCGCGGTTGTCCAGCAGGGCCCTCCCGCGCCCGGGCCTCGACCTCCCCGCGGGGAAGGGTCGGGGCTGGGGGAAGGCTCAGGTGCTTGGGGAGAAGGGCCCGGGACCAACAGGGGTGGAGACCCGTCTTACTGGTGGGCAGAGCCCCAGCGCCACTTCCAAGGCGGGCAGCAAGGCGAACAGCGCAGTCGGAAGTCAACCCGGGCGCAGAGTCTGCGGCCCCATCCGCATCTGGCGGAGGCTCGCTCGCGCTCGGCCTCACGGAAGCTGCAGTCTGCGCCCGGCCCTCCCCGGAACCCCTCCTTCGCGCCTCTCAGCCCCCCGCCCCCGCCCCCGCCCCCGCCAACCCGGCGACGGCCACGTCCGCCCGCCGGGACAGAGGTACGGTCTTGGCGATTCTGGCGGCCCGCTCCTCTCCCGACCAGCGCGCAGCGCCGCGCCGCCCGCCCGCCACGAGTTTGCTGCTCCTGCTCCGCCAGGTCCTGGCGCCGCCGCCGCTGGGTGCTGGGCCTTAGGCACTCGCTGGGCTCCCAAGTTCTGGACCCCCGCACAGAATCCACCCTCGGAGCCGCCCGCGGACCTCTCGGCACCCGCCTCTGTTCCCTCACCGCCTTCCCCTCGGCCCGGACCTGGGCTGTCTGCTGCCCAGCGTTCAGGGATGTCGTTGTTTCGCCCCGTGTGCTTCCTGTTCCCGACCCCGAGCGTGGAAACAGGTTCCTCCCCTCCGGCCGGACACACCTGACTGATTTAATACGTCTGTTAGCACGCCCTTTTCTTGCCTTGACTTCTGTGGGCCGTTCTCCCTATAGAATTCACTTAATTTCCATCCCCTTTAAAAACTAAGTATGTCAGACACAAAACGAAAAATATTGTATGACTCCACTCACATAGGGTAGCTAGAGAACTCAATTTCATGGAGGCAGAAAGTAGAATGGTGGTTGCCAGGGACGAGGAAGCAATTTGGGATGGGATGAGTTATTGTTTAATGGGTACAGTTTTCTGAGCAAAGACTGTTTGACCAAACTTTAGTCAGAGAGGCTTCTACTTGCATCTCCGAATTTTAGTGAGAATCTCTTACCCTCTATCGGCTCACTCTGCCTATCCGACCAAATTCCTCATCCCAACAAGATACCCCAGGTGTTCTCTGATCACCCTGGCCTGCCTTCAGCAAGAATCCTCCCAAGTCAGTTTAGCAAAAAATTAACCCATGCTCTTAGTAATGTTCCATCCAGGACCATTACCGCCTTTCTTGGCTATAAATCTCCACTTGTTCCAGCTATATTCAGAATTGATCCTGGTTCTATACTGAGACCTCTTTCACCCTGTTGCAAAGTCCTGATAAAAATCCACTTTCATCACTTTAATTGCTTGTGCAGCTCGTGCAGCTCAGGCTTTCTTTTTCTTTTTTCTTTCTTTCTTTCTTTTTTTTTTTTTTTTTTTTTTGTTAGCTCTGGTTTTCTTTGGCACGTCAGTTTGGGAAGATGAAAAAGTTCTGGAGATGGATGTTGGTGATGGTTGCACAACATAAATGTATTTATGCCACTGAACTGTACACTTAACAATGGTTAAAATGTTAAATTTTGTTGTGTTTATGTTACCACACACACAAAACAGGTATTTTTAAGAACAAGATTTTTAAAAAGTTATATATATGTAGGAAACATTACTCCAGAGATCCTGCAATAGTCCCTCCTGGAGTTCATTGGCTTGTCTTAAGAGTTCTTGGCCCATATTTTCTAGAGTTGCCAGAGAAAAATACTGAACATCAAGTTAATTTAAACTTCAGTTAAAATTTACATACTTACACTAATACACGAGGTCTCTCTGGAAAAAGTCTAGCCATTGTTAATATAACAAGAATGATTGCGTGACATCAGAACAATAACTTCTCTGGACTAGTCAGTGGGAATGGTAGATGTCATTGAGTGAGCACATGTACTGTGTGACCATCTCATTACAAAATAACTGAGTAGAGGAATGAATCTGCATCAAATTTGGTGTCAAGCTTGAACATTCCTTCGCAGAAACTATTCTGATGATTCAGAAGGCTGTAGCGATGGGCAACTGGTGATCAGCAGCTTCATCACAACAATGTGCCCACTCATGGATCATGTCTAGTGCAGAGGTTTTTGGAGAAATATCAAATCACTCAGGTAACTCAGCCCCACTATAGCCCAGATTTAGTGCCCTGCGAATTCTGGCTTTTCCCGAAACTAAAATCAACTTTGAAAGGGAAGAGATTTCATACCATCGATGAGATTCAGGAAAATACAATGGAGCAGCTGATGGCAATTGGGAGAACAATATGAGGTCCCAAGGTGCCTTCTTTGAAGGATACTTAGGCGTCATTGTCGTATGTACAATGTTTCTTATATCTTGTATCTTCTTCAATAAATGTCTCTATTTTTCATATTACATGGTTGGATACCTTCTAGATAGACTATATATATAATTTTATATATAATTTTACATACTTAATATATATGTATATGTGTATATATACAAGTATATATCTCTAAGCACAAGACATACTTATACTAAAAAATTATTTATTACTTTTGAAACTGAAAATCACATAGGCATTTGATATTTTTATTTGCTGAATCTGGCAACCCTACTTTCATCCTAATACTCTCTGAGTCTTGTCCTCTCTTCCTGCCCCTCTTTCTGGGAGAGTTAGGTTGAATTGTCTTTTTTGACAACATTTTGCTGTATCACCACCTGTAATGTATGGTCCCCACCAGTTGTGGTGTCCACCTGTATCAGAAACCAAATATTTGCGGTTCCTTCCACATTCGATTCATAAGTTGACACCCTAACCCCCAGTGAGGTGGGACTTGGAGATAGGGCCTTTGGGGAGGTAATTAGAATTAGATGAGGTCATGTAGCGGGGGCCCTCATGATCAAATTAGTTCCCTTATAAGAAGAGACACCAGAGAATTTGCTCTCACTTTCTCTTTACCATGTGAGGTCGCAGAGAGAAGTTGGCCATCTGCAAGCCAGGAAGAGAGCTCTCCTCAGGACCAAAATGATGGGCACCTTGGTCTTGGATTTCCCAGCCTCTAGAACTGTAAGAAATAATTATGTTTTTAAGCCATTCAGGCGATAGTATTTTGTTTTTAACTAATACAATCTACTAACACATTTTACTCTTCACTCCTAGAGCAGTGACTAAGTGGTCAAAGGTATCCAGCATACCTCAAAGAAGGTGGAATGTGGGAGACCACACAGGCTTGGGGGTTCCGCCACTCATACCTTGTTCAACCTTGGGCAAGTCATCTAAGGGGGCCTCAGTTGCCCCATTTATAAATTAGGGTTAAGAGTGCTTGCTCTGGCCCTGGCTGGGCAGCTCATTTGGTTAGAGCATTGTCCCGACATGCCAGGGTTATGGGTTTGATCTCTGGTCAGGACTCATACAAGCATTAACCAATGAATCCATAAATAAGTGGAACAACAAGTCAATGTTTCTCTCTTTCTCTCTAAAATTTAAAAAAAAAAAAGAAGTGCTTGCTCTGCCCCCTATTGTAGGCTGCCATTGGATGTTAAAGTGCTTTGTGATCTGTACTGCCTACTCAAGCATGAAAGGAAATTTATGTATGCTCTATGATGTCTACATGTAGACACACAAACACACACCATATCACATATCAAACTTAACTGTGTTTTCTCTAAAAAGTGCTGCTAGACAGTGCCCCTGGGCCCAGACCAGCCAGTTCACCTCCATACAGCTCACCCTCCACTTCATAAAAGTTCTCTACCTAATCTATTGACAGGCCCATCTGAGGCCTAATTTTAAAAACTGCCTTCCCAGACAAGAAAAAGCCAAAAAAGTTCATCACCACCAAACCAGTATTACAAGAAATGTTAAAGGGACTTATTTAAGAAGAAAAAAAATTGATCAAAAATATGAATAATAAAATGACAATAACTACATATCCGTTAACAATTACTTTAAATGTAAATGGATGAAATGCTCCAATAAAAAGGCATAGGGTAACTAAATGGATAAGAAAAAAAGACCCTTGCATATGCTGCCTACAAGAGACTCGCTTGATACCAAAAGATACAGCAGATTGAAAGTAAAAGGATGGAAAACTATATTTCTGAAAATGGAAACAAAATAAAGCTGGGTTAGCAATACATATGCCAGACAAAATAGACTTCAAAACAAAGGCTATCATAAAAGACAAAGAAGGATCCAGCAATTCCACTTCCGGATATTTATCCAAAGAAACCCAAAACACGAATTCAAAAAGCCATATACATCCATATGTTCAATGAAGCATTATTTACAATAGTGAGGATATGGAAGCAACCTAGTTATCCGTGAGTAGATGAATGAATAAAGATGAAGAAGTGGTGCATCTATACCATGGAAATCTTGCCATCTGCAACCACATGGATGGATCTAGAAGTTATTGTGCTGAATGAAATAAGTCAGACAGAGAGAGACAAATGTTATATGTTTTCACTTATATGTGGAATCTAAAAAATAAAATAAATTGCCTTGGCTTGTGTGGTTCAGTGGACTGAGCACCGGTCTGCAAACCAAAGGATCACTGATTTGATTCCCAGTCAGGACACAAGCCTGGGTTGCTGGCCAGGTCCCCAGTAGGGGGCATGTGAGAGGCAACCACACATTGATGTTTCTCTCCCTCTGTTTCTCCCTCATTTCTTCTCTGTCTAAAAATAAATAAATAAAATCTTTAAAAAATAAAAATAAATGAACAAACAAAATAGAAACTCATAGGTACAGAGAACATTTTGATGGTTGTCAGAGGGAGGGTAGAGATGGGTGAAAAAAGGGGAAGGGATTAAGAAGTACAAAATAGCAGTTACAAAATAGTCATGGGGATGTAAGGTACAGCATAGGGAAAATAGTCAATAATATTGTAATAACTGTGTGGTGTCAGATGGGTACTAGACTCATCAGGGGATCATTTCATAAGTTATATAAATGTTTAATCAGTATGCGGTATACCTGAAACTAATATAACATTGTATGTCAACTGTAATTGAAAAATAAAAATATTTTAAAAAAGAAAAACAAATGAAAATCTCCAAGGAGATGGATTGCAAAGACATTTGACCTCAGCCACTTAAACTGCACTGGGAATCCTTGACCTCATTCTGGATAAAGAAAAGCTGAGTGTCATTCTACTCTGTGGACATTAAGGCCATGCCTGTGTTTGTTGGCCCATTGTGTTATTCCATTTATAAGAAATATCCACTATAAGTCCGGAGAGACACAACGTAGATTGGTGGTTTCCAAGAGCTGAGGGGAGGGGAGAAT